AATTCTGCTGCTTCCCATGTAGTTTGTTAAGAAAAAGGGTAATACCTCAGTAGATAAAATATCTCAGGACTATGTTTTACAATAAATAATTTTAAAATGCTGTTAATTTTTTCAGGCCTTAACACTTTCTGCCGTCCTTTTAATGTTAGCTTATTAAAATCAGAAATTTTCCTTGTTAAACAGGAACGCTGTGGGGTAAGTGGTGGGAGGCTAATGGTATGGTCTTTAAATGTTTATGACTGCAACTCGAAAACATATATTAAAAACAGTCCATGTGGGGATTTGTATTAAAAAAGGTGAATGTGTTAATATACACAATAACAGTGGTGCCTGGATGGCCCAGTCAGTTAAGGGTCCTACTTCAGCTCAGGTCATGATCTCACAGTTCGTGGGTTCAAGCCCCGCGTTGGGCTCTGTGCCGACAGCTCAGAGCCTGGAGCCTGCTTCTGATTCTGTGTCTCCCTCTCTCTCTCTACCCCTCCCCTGCTCATACTCTGTCCCTCTCTCTCTTTCAAAAATAAATAAACATTAACAATTTTCAATAAAATAAAATAAAATAAAATACACAATAACTTTCAGTAAGTTTTAAATCATGATTGTTAGGCTATTAGAAAACTTTATTTATGTATATTCCCTATTAAACTACACAGGAGAATTAAAACTTTAAACAAAATAATCTTAACTAATAGATAACTGCAATATAACAAGTTCCAAATTCTCAAAAGGCAGTATTTGGGTGCTTTTTGTTTTTTGTGTTTTTTGGTAAGATCAAAGATACAGAACAATGACTTATCATTTAGGTAAAGTTTAGATACTGCAGTGGCATGATTTTAATTATGCTACTATTCAAGATTAGCAGAAAAAAATGCAAAAACGTAGGCCTTTTGGTAATCTGGTCCTTTGGTTAGAACAGTATGTACTTTTAATTCCTAAATTGGCCCAAATATAAGGTGGTATTGATTTTAAAAGAAGGCTCCCCAATTTCCACAGAGATGAAAAACATAAAAATACACAACACACACCGTTTTTAAATTAAATCATTACTCAAAAAAATTTTTTAAAAAAGCAAAAACAAAAAAAACACACTATCATCACAGTTGCCTTCACAGCAAATGAGTCACACCTGTGGAAACCGGTGTGGGAAGAAACCCGGTTCTTCTCTGCTGTTTCTCTAAAAGCTACCACTCACCAGCCAGTGGGGTGAAGAAGGTGGGAAGGGTATCAGGCAGAAATGAAAGCAGAACCGAAAGAAGGGTTTGCAATGCTGCCAGCTATTGGGATATACAGAGGGGGGAGAAAGAAGGGAAGAGGGAGGGAAGGAACTGAGGGCAAGATCCATAAGGGCGTGCCACGAAGTTAGATGGGACAGAAGTTAGATCAGAAAGAGAGGCTGCTGATGCCCCCGGCATTGGAGGCCTAAAAACGTTCCTGATATATTCAATAATAGAGTTCATAGTATTATTATTATTATCATCATTCCCCATAAAATAATATTCCTATATTTGGGCCAATAAGACATTTAAAAGCAACCAAAATACAGCAAATATCACCAAAATGTTATACTTAGCACACACCAAAGTCATCTGATTAATGTAGATGCAATGTTCCTTTGACAAGAATAGCCTTTGCATGTAATTTCATAAAGGGTCAGTGAATTCTCATGTTAGGATCTCAAAAGTGTCAGTTTAAATTGTTATTTTTAAAGCTTAAACAAGCAAACAAAAAATCCTATCAGCCCTGCATTCCATGATATGATTCATACTTTCTGCTTTCATAAAAACAAGAGCAGCTAGTGTTCTGCTATCCATCAAATAATACTGTGAAAAATGGGATATGCTGTGTGTTACTGTCACAGTCAAGTCTGAAGACAGGCTCACCAAAACTCGTGCCTCACCTCATTTCCGTCATTGCTGCATAATGCAACTTTATTAGTACCAGCTGACAGAATAATAGGCTTAAAATACATGTAGTTGATTAAACAGAAACCATATGAAAACTTGTCATGAATTTACTTGCATATTTCCCCCTTTTCCTGATCCTTTCTTCCTGCCTCGTGTCTCCAACCCACGGAATGAAAAGGGGGAGAAGTGTCTCCTCAGACCATCAGGACCTGCTCTGAAACAGCAACCAGGGCAGCGTTCCTGTGGAAGTCGACTCCTCACTCTTGGTGCGGAGGAAACAGAGCATCAGTACTGACTCTTGAAATCACTTCTGTGTCCCTCCCAATCTTCTTTACTCTCCTTTACCCACCACTCAGTTACTGCTCTTCCCTTCATTATTTCTGTCTCTTGGAGGCAGATCCAAATTGATGGCTCAACTTCCAGGAAGTTTTGGAGAGTAGAACCATACCCTGCACCTTCTTCTGAACCAAGTGCTGAAGCTCTAAATCCTGCCTCCAAAAACTCTTGACCAAACTCTTCCTGGTTTGCCCACAACTCTCCCAGTGTTGGCACTGGAAGTCCCAAGTCCCTAACAACCCTCACTTTCGAGCAAACCGGCATGACTGGTCACCTTGAAGTGGACCAACTTCTCTATAGTGACTGTCACCCTCCTATCTCCCACAAATATATTTAAAGTTCTGTTTAAAACAAAATCCGTCTTCTCTTTCTCTGAAAGGAGTCAGAATGACTAGAGCCCATGGCAAATTTACTTTCTTATTGATAATTAAGTCAGAATGAGTCACTTTAGCCACTAAAGTTGAAATTCTCCAGGATTAAGGACAGTTATTTAGAGATAAGCTCCTGATTCATGTAAGAGACTGCTTCAAGGGGAAGTTATGCAAGTAAGCCCAACCAAGCCATTGAAATTGAACTGTTCTTAAAATTTTAACCTACACATTTTTCCTCTAAATTTGGTCTCTTTGGAACTCTGCAGTGGAAAAAAAAAAAAAAAAAAAAAAAAAAGGCACAGCTGGAACATTTGGAGGGTGTTAAGTCCAGAAAATGAATCCAAAAAATGATATTAAAAAGAAGTGCCATGAGGGAACAAATGTGGGTTACCTCTGACAGCTCGCCAAGTAATTGCTATTAGGAAAATGGAGCAAACCACATTAAATGAGAAATTAACACAGGAGATGGAACTAAAATAGTATCAGTTACAATTCACATCAAATATCAGAACACGTGAGCAAATTATTTTTTGACAGTAAAATTACCTGCCTACAAATCAACTTATATAATTAATTTCCATCATTCTTATCTAACAATGGAAAACTAATTATATAGAATCATGCTACAGTATAAACCGTATAGAGTATTTCAGTACCTATTTGTATATTATTGTGTTTTTAAAATATTAAGATAGGTTCATCTTATTCTTATAGTTTATAAGGAATACAATTAGAGTGCACTATATATAAGGTTAATTTCTCTTTAAAAGCTGACTTTACAAAAGGAAATACATATCATGGTGTGTTTTAGGGAGCTTTAGGTTTAAACTTGTAAGCAGTCTCAACAAAATTTTGTAATTCTGCACATGCATGTTGGGCAGTCATTACTATATATAAATAGTAACCATATATAAGTCACCTAGATCCATAAGATATATAGATACATATGAGAGAGAGACAGAGAAAGGGAGATGACATTTCAAATTATTGCAAGAAATACTGGGGAAAATGTCAACACATAAGGCAGAATAAAAAGTAAACATCCTTTTCTAAAAACCATGCCTCTAATTAATAAATAGAATGTTCTGAGATTAATTTTGAAAACACATTTTAAAGAACTGGGTACTATCAGGAAGTAAGTCTACTGGAACGAATACGAAAACATCTTTAGTAAAATGGTCACTGTCCAGCAATATCTGAATATCTGGACTGAGCTTGAAAAACAGAGCATTCATCACATGGGGTGAAATTAGTGGTGTTCGTGGTTTAAAAGTCACAGGAAATATTTCCTTTCCTATTTTAGGGCTATTTAAACATGCATTGAGAAAAATACCACAAATTTGTATCTAGATGGGATTGTAGAGATTGTTGACCCCTTCCACTTCACAGCTGAGCAAACTGGGCACAGAAAAATAAAATGCTTTCTTGAAGTTCACACAGCTAGTTAGTGACAGATTGGGGCTTTTTGCGTACTATCACCATATCTCTTGCTAGGAAACAGAGAAGACAGGAAATTTTCTGTTTAATTCACAGGACTGTAACGACCAGGTATTCATAATTATTGGCACCTTGGTAGACTAAAAATATCTACAATAATAATAAGTACGTAGACTTAATAGTAAGTGGAAGACCCATTCAGTCAAGCCTTTGAGTACACCAGAGATAACAGGAGGGTGGGGTTAGTTTCTGCCCTCATACAGCATGAGAATCCATATGGGCAAAAAGGTAATTCTAGTAGATGAACAGTCCTAGTGCCAGAGGTCTGGGAATCAAATCAAAAGAGGTATCAGGAAACTTTATGTGGCAAGTAGATTATATGGGGAGAAAGCACCCTGGATGTTGATCTGTCGCCCAGCTAAAATATAACGAAGTACTGGAATGCACTACAACAAAATTTTTATCAAAGGGTATATCATTTTTCTTCATTTCTCCATAGTCTCTCATAAGCATCTACTTCCTTTTCCCTGTGGTTTCAGTTAATCTTTTCTTGATGTTCCATATCTTTTATAAATTCTGCATTACTTCCCTCCCTTTTATTGTCAAAACTCTGTGGAACCCATGGGGGAAACACAATAGGTGGGAATGGCTGTCTTTACAGAGCTGTTAAAAATCACTCCAAATGTGAGGATATTAAATAACCTAGACTCTCAGGGACATTGGTGGCAATTCAACACCTATTTACTTCTGCTGCCAGGTACTAGCATCCCTGCTATCAGAAAAGAATCTCCAACCGAAAGTGTCTGAACAACAGCAAGTACTGCTCTTGTGCCTTTCACCGGGGGACTGCCATCATTCTTGACAGGAAACACAAGGGTATGAAACAATAAGAGTCACAACTGTGTGCACTGTTAAAACATTTGATGACTTGTAGACGCTACATGGAACAGTTTACATCTAATTCCCTAGTCCCACTGTTCACAAAATGTCTACTTTCTAAGTAAATTATGTAATTTGGATTACCTTCCTCAAGGATGAAAAAAAAATGGAAGAACTGATGAAATCTAAGGAATTGGTAGATAAGGCAAAAATTCCACTCTGAGGATGGTGATTATCAGATTAACTTTTATCGCAATACCATGCATGGTATTCTGAGAAAATGTCTCTTAAGCATTCATAGAGTGAAAACTGTACGTATGTACAAAATGAGAAAACAATCTTTTCTAAGCATGATTCCCATTATTGATTGAGTGCATCAGACCATGGGCTCTGAATCCAGGGTCCTGGGTCCCAATGCCAGCTTCACACGGCTGTTAATTGTGCATAACTTACTTTTCCAAACCTTAGTTTCCTCATATGTGAAATGTGCCTACTTCATAAGGTTGTTGTGGGAATTAAATGAATCAGTATTTGTGACGTCCTTAAACAATGCCTGCACTCGGCATGAACACTGACTACTGGCCATTATCTACTCGGAGGGTAATACCATTGCTATCAGTGCATGTGAAGGAAGCTTAAGCAATTAATCATTAGGTATCATTCAGCAGTCCAGTACAGGGATCTAAAATGTTTTTGCTAGAAGTAGTTTCTTGGGTGCCTGGGTGGCTCAGTCGGTTGAGTGTCTGGCTTCAGCTCAGGTCATGATCTTGTGGTTCGTGAGTTCAGGCCCTGTGTCGGGCTCTGTGCTGACAGCTCGGAGCCTGAAGCCTGCTTTGGATTCTGTGTCTCCTTCTCTCTCTGCCCCTCTCCTGCTTGCGCTCTGTCTCTCTCTCTCTCTCAAAAATAAATAAACATTAAAAAAAAAGAAGTTTCTTTAAATTCCTTCAAAATTTTGATCTCAATGGATAGAAGATACCAGGGGGAAAAGAATGTCACCAATTTCTTTTTCTTTAATTTTTTTAAATGTGTATTCATTTTTGAGAGAGAGAGAGGGAGAAAGAGAGACAGAGCACGAGTGGGGGAGGGGCAGAAAGAGAAGGAGACACAGAATCTGAAGCAGGCTACAGGCTCTGAGCTGTCAGTACAGAGCCCGATGTGGGGCTCGAACTCATGAATCGTGAGATCATGACCTGAGCCGAAGTCGGTCGCTTAACTGACTGAGCCACCCAGGCACCCTTATCATCCTTTTCTGAGGAGAGAGAGGGTCACTGGTAATGCTTCAAGAACAAAGGAGCAAAGCCGTGGCAGATGGCTTGGTGATTCCGATTCCAGACAGCAGGCTTTTATGGAGGACCTGCTCAGTGCTAGGCTTTCTGTCTTCCTTTTCATCAAATGCAAGATCCTGGCACTCAATAAATATTTGGGAGGTGAATAAGGAGATGAATAAGACACAGAGTTGTTCTTGATTTGTTTGTAATCTGGTGGAGGTCTTTTAAGCTAGAGGGTTAGGATCACTGGAATTTACATAAATATGTGGTATCTTTATTGTCGTTTCAAAATAAGCCACACAGTTTTTCTTTAGGTATATTAGACCAAGGATGCTTTTGTCTTTTCCATCTTATTCTACCTAGTCACTGTATGTGTGTGTGCGTGTGTGTGTGTGTGTGTGTGTGCGCGCGCGCGTTATAGATGCTTTGAGAAAAGGAATTCTTTTAGAGTAGGATTTATGCCAGATAGCAGATTGTCAAGACTGCTTATTAAAATTTTACAAGATTTTGGTGGTTTTGTTGGGCTAAGCCCAAAGTTTTCAGGAGCTGTTAAAAAATAAACTCTTTTTAATACCTTTTAAAAGCAGAGCTCTTAACCTAAACACACACACACACACACACACACACACACACACACACACACACACACACAGCTTCTATAACGTTTCCACATATATCACTGTATTCAGAGCTGCATCCAGAAATTTTTAGAAGACAGTCAGATAGTGTTGAAAAGTTTAAAAGGAACCAGCCCAAACAGGCAATTCCCACACATTTCTATTTACATAAAGTAGCAAAACAAACTCCTGAAGCTTGTGAGCACTTAAAAAATCTCTTGGTTGTGCCAAAGTTGACAAAAATGTAAGACGAGGCTCTGTTCGAGAAAGGAGGAATAAAATTTATGTCCTCAAAAAGTACTCTCCCTACCTATGATATGTATCAACAGTTTTGCTTTGGTTTTAAACAGAAGCAACCTTTAAACAGAAAAGTCAACTTATGGCTCAGGCCAAGAATCAAGGAAAAGACAAGACCGAACAATAAACAGACAAAGGTAAGAGAGGTTAAATTCCTTAGGAAATTGCTGGTGGGGTAAAATACTTAGTTAGAATTGACATTATTTGCATGTTTCAGGTATTTTATTGGAGTTTGCTCATCCCTAGTAAGGATGCACACAAACAAAACTTTGGATAATTGTTTTTAACTCTTGACTCCTGTTCATATGCAGCATCTAGGGAGAGTCTCTGTGAACAATGTCTCTGATAGCTTATTACAAGTTAACTGTTAAAAAGTTAACTTTTTAACATTAACATTGCATAAACTCAAAGGGTATATACTCCATCACTGTTCTAGGCATATATTTCACTCTTTAACACTGTTTAAGGCATTTGGTCCAACCGTCTACAGGAAAGAAGGTAAGGAATTGGCACTTAAAAACCAGGCGGAAGCCTATGTTATGTCAGGTAACCACATCTCAAATCAGAAAGGAACTCAGGAAAGAAAAAGGTATTCAAACTAAGTTAGAAAAGTCACTTCAAAAATCCACAGGAAATGGAGTAGTAGACCATACCTTGAATAACTCAAACTCCTTCTTTGGCATCAAAAGCTAATGACAAATGATGAACATAAAATAAGTACGTAGTACGTATGCACATCAGGCTAGCCAAAACAAGCACGGCAAACAGAATTTCCACCACATCACCTTAAGTTATCAAGATACATACATTGTACAATAATTCTTTACTTTATAAGTTTGCATGGGGCGCCTGGGTGGCTCAGTCAGTTGAGTGTCCGACTCCCGATTTCAGCTCAGGTCATGATCCTAGGGTTGTGGGATCGAGCCCCATGGTGGGCTCCACACTGAACATGGAGCCTGCTTAAGATTCTTTCTCCCCCTCTGCCCTCTCCCCTCTCTAAAATTAAAAACAAAAAAAAGTTTGCTTGACTCTTGGATTCTAGTAAGGCCAAAAGTCACTCTGGATGACCACAGGACCTATACTCAGTGTGAACACTATGAGGGGCCACAAGTAATGAATGGTCATGCAGCAGAGGTATGATCACCATCCTACATGTGGACAGCTGTATCTTACTAAACCTAGACCTGGCATGAACATCAACTCTGTCACTGGACAGCATATGTAGCTTCTCAAGTTTATGACATTATTATGGGGTCAGATGTGATTTTTTGCTGAAGATTCTGAAAATTAAAATAATTCTTCCTGGGGGCATGATATAGAAACCACCACAGGTTCATATGCTACATATGAGACCATCCATCCATTCCGCCTCTGCTAGCAGACTGGACTCTAGAGGTTCTGTCACAGGTCAAAAATCCCAAGTTAAATAGTAAGTGGATTCAGATGTTCGGGTGAATGAGCTACCAGAGTTAATAAAGTCCTGAAAATGTGTCATGTGACTCAAAGATTATTTAATGATCAACAAGAGAGAGCCTGATCTATCTACCCTATGTCATAGGTATATTTTAATCTTAAAATCAAGAGAGGACCAATATTATAGTCCAAATGAATACCCATGTGTTGGTGTAAGGGGGGGGGGGGATGAGTGCAAGTTCAAGGTCAGTGACAGAACGTTTAAGAGAATAAAGGTGAAAGATGGTGAAGATGAGCCACCCTCCAGCCACTGTCCCAGTGCCACCCTCTATGAAGAAACCACTGGATAGGAAGGCTATGGGCAAGAGTGAAGAGGCAGAAATACTGCTTCTCCGAACATCAGAAGGACTATAGGATGTGTATGAAAAAAGAGAAGGTCACTTACTGGTAAACATTTTAAGCAATTTTCTGAAGAAATAAATCAGAAAAAACGTATATATAATTGTTTCCTATATCTTTCGCCATTGCCCCCCTCCCCCACTAACCCTAGGAAAAAAACTATACAAATTGTACAACAAATTAAGTCTCAAAATGATTAATACACAAAAGGTATTTAAGTCCCATTTTAGAGTAATCAATTTGAAAGTTTATAAAAGTTAAATTTTGCTAAAAAGTCATAATAAATACCTGTATGGTATGCGTGTATGGTGGATCAGCACGCCCTAATCCAGATTCTGGAGGTCTCACGATATCCAAAATGTTATTTGGCACAAATCCAGAGTCTCCACTTGCATTTCGAACCTTCCACCATTGTTTTCTATCATCAAGGATCTGTCATCATGAAAAAAAATAAAGGCATCATTCCATACCAAAACCAATCTATGAAAGAAGTTTCGATTTTTATTCCTTAGATCAGGAAACTCTTTTCACTTCTAATAAGCTGACTTACTATCAACACACTTTGGGTTGAATGATTCTCAGGAGTTACACTGATAATCATAATTACTAGTATAAAACATGTATGGAACCACTACTGTGAATGTACCCAAGGTCCTCATCACCTGCCAAGAAGGTTTAACTGTTTATGCTATCTGAAGCATGGAAAGATGACTAAGATGACATGTTTGGAGAGGTCTTTTGTCTACACCCTTCAAACAGGAAGGAAAAGAATGGAAACCATTCTTTTTATAAAAACTATCATGACTGTCCCACATTACATATTAAAGAAGATGAACTCCGAGTTATGATCTAAGAAATGGATTTGAGAGTCACGGTAGATTATTCCCAGAATCAACAGCTTACTCACTGATGGGTACATTTGTGCAAGGGGACTATGACAGGAAGAAGGAAACGTTTTCTCTCGTTAAAATATTATGATGTATCTACATAACTAGCCTTGATTCCAAAATGGATAAATCCCAGAAGAAAAGAGGACCAAGTAAGCCAAGAAATTCAACGTCTGTCCTCCCCACCAACCTCCGTTTTTCACCCCCTCCCCCCAGAAAAACCCAACAAAAAAATAAGATAAAGCAAGCTCCCCCTCCTAAATAGATATAGGTATCTATAACATGCTTTTATCCTGGATAAAATAAAATGACATTGACCTTGGCATTTTTTAAGAAGGTTTAGATATATACCAAATACAACATGAAGTATATTGTATACAATATACAAAATAAATCCACTTTATTAAGAGTATAAAAAAGGTAAAATTCTATTACCTCTAAAATATCATCTTTTAGAACTGAGAGCTCACTGTTGTTCCTTGCCACAAAGTCATACTTGGATTTGGCATACTTCTTGGGTTGTGCTTTCAGTAGATCATAATTTCTATAAAAAGAAAGAGAAACGATCATTTAGTGAGCTCTTCCTAAAGGCTGAAAACAGAAGTAAGACATTAAAGCAAATCAATGCCAATTCCTACCAGAAAACATTCTGACAAATTATTACAATAATAGTTTAGTTTATTATATTTCATAAAATATGAGAACTGAACAAAACTTTGGAGTTATTACTATTAAAATGAGCGACTATGGCCAGTACAAAACTAAATAATGCAAAAATCATAAGGTTAGTGGATACTAAGCCAAATACAGAATACAAATCTATGAATTCTTTGTCCATTAAATATACCGGGACATTACTTTGTTAATTAGCAACTCTACCATGAAAGAACTGGGATAAAGATCAATGGTAGCATTTTTTATAAAATTAAAAGAGACTGAAGATAATTTCCATAGTAGAAATTTAAATTATATGTTGATTTCACTAACTCAAGCAATGTCTTTAATTCATATTTAAAAATTATGACTGTCAAGTTTTAGAAAAGCTTTGTCCAGTTCCTAAATTGCAAGGGTAGGTATGAATTAAGAGTAAGACTAATAACACCTCCTAATTAGTTAATCCATTCATTCATTATAAACTTATTTTAATAGTAAGAACAGGTCCAAGAGTCCTATGCTTTTTTAAAAAGAAAACTTTCTTGGGGCATCTGGGTGGCTCAGTCAGTTAAGCACCGAACTCGATTTCAGCTCAGGTCATGATCTCACAGTTCGGTGATTGAATTGGAGCCCTGCATCAGGCTCTGAGCTGGGAGAGCAGAGCCTGCTTAGAATTCTCTCTCCTTCTCTCTCTGTCCCTCCCTCACGGTCTCTCTCTCAAAATAACAAAAAAACAAAAAAACCCACAAAACTTTCTTAAAAAACCAAATACTTCCTTTAATCATTAAATGACCACTAATAAATTTAACATAACTAAAATATACCTCTATATGTAATACAAAAATTGATATATCAATAATGCACTACTATTTTCTTCATTTCAATAATAAAACACTTTAACTGTTGTTTCTTAATTTAACTCCCTCATTTTCTCCTCCATTTACGTTTCCACATTTCCTTACTCATTTCTACAAGGGAAAAAGCAGAAAGGAACTAAAGACGTTTGTTCATCTTTCCCCTGTCAAGTGGCCCACCAGGGTCCTCTGGAATAATGAGTCGCAGCAGGGCCAGCACGACAATTGTGACACAACGTATTCTGCCATCAGAGGTAATTGGCAACCTCTTAGTAACTCCAGAAGAGGAAAGGGACAATGAGAAAAGATGACCCAAAAGCTATGCTACCTACTGGCTATTTTTGATATAGTTTTAAAAAATAAGAAAAGTGAGAAAAGTGACATTATAGCCAAATAATTATTATATATTAATAATAATTTAACAGCTGTTCTGTGGGCTTCCTACCCCTTTTCCCTACTTTATATGTTTACATTCTATTTAGATTTCATTTGGGGGGATAAAAAAATTCAGCCACTCCAAAAGTCAGAAAAACAATAATTTCAGTTCTCTATGTTTCTCTCTTCCCTCGTGTTCCCTTCCCATGATCTGGAAAATAATCACCATTAATAATAGAGAGTTGAGTATACTATAACAGGGCAGAATAACTCTCCGCCACTGTGTTTCGGAACCAGCGAATTAAAAAGAAAAGTTTGCCACAGCTCTCCTTGAAGTCTTTGCTATTTTGAGTGTCTCAGAGATGACTACCCAGCATGCACTCAAAAAGTGCTTTAGAGAGTACAAATCTTTACGGTTTACAGTTTCTTGCCCTCTATAGATAAAACTTAGCTACAATATTGACCATATAATAACTAAATATATAATAAACTAAAGTTTCTTAAGAGATCTATAATATATAAAAACGTATGTTCTCTGTTCGTGGTTTGGAATAATCGATATGCACTTGATATAGAGCAGATGTGGAGTCGGCAATGATCGGAGACATCTCTGAAGCATGAACTGCTTTGGGATAGAAGTAAACTGTAATCCCTCAAAGGAGAGGGCTCTAAATTCAACAGGTGGTTTACCTAATGGCACAGTAAGTTTCACTGAAGAGTGAATATACTTCACATGGTATTTACTGCATTCCAGGCATAGGCATGTAATAGAGTTTAAGGGTAATAAAAAATAATTATAAAAGCAAATTCCAAACCTCTGTGTATTTTATATCAGACCAGAACTTTCAGATTATCTTTTGCAATAATGATGATACATTTTCTTAGCAACCTGAAACATCAACGATCCAGGTGCCTATGTCAACGATCCAGCACCTATTACAATAGCCTGAGTGAGAGATGGGATCCACAAGACAACTCAGATACACAATCTACCCAACACTCAATGTATTTTTTTATTGAATTTTTAAAAATGTTTATTTATTTTTAAGAGAGAGAAAGTGCGACTGGGGGAGAGGCAGAGAGAGAGGGAAACACAGAATATGAAGGAGGTTCTGAGCTGTCAGCACAGAGCCTGACTTGGGGCTCGAACTCACTAACTGTGAAATCATGACCTGAGCTGAAGTCAGATGCTTAACCCAACTAAGCCACCCAGGTGCCCCCACCACTCAATGTATTTTTTTTTAACAATTCTTTCCCCGGGTAAATTTTGACAACCCTAAACTCTATATATAATTGAGTATCCCTTCATGGAATTGCCTTCAATAAATTCCATTTAAATTTTTTATTTCTCAAAGGTTACTAAAAGAAACTTTGTGATATTTACCACAACATTCTCTAAATGAGGAAAAAAATCTTTAAAAGTAATGTCCCTTACATCATCCCTCACATTCTACACAAAATTTCATGAGACAAATATTTTTGAGGATGGGATAAAAAAAAACATTATTTATCCTAATAAACCGATATATACTTCTTCCTTTTCCTAATGACAGCAAATGATTGTTTCTCTTTCTGCTGACAGCTAGGAACCTCAAAGACAAATCTGAAATTCAATCACAGTATCAATCTATACTTCCAAAATTTTAATTCTTACCCCCATTCTTGATTACTTAATTTTGTAGTTTTTGCTTCATTATTTTAATATTAGCATTACTTAAACTGCATGTAATTTAAGTGAGTTGACTGAATCCATTTTGGAAGCAGATGAGGTACAGAGATATAACTAAATCACTAAGTCAAAGTACACTCTCCTGACCCTCTAAAATGATCAAGATAAACTTTTAAAACACTTTGTGGTAAGCTGTCCAAAATAAATGGCAGAGTTTTTTCCATCAGTAACACTATACCTAATAGGCTTAGAGGTGAAGGGCAAAGACATAGGTAGTGACTCTGAAATGTTGGATACACTATCATGTGCCTATTCAATCATTCAATACATCAAATAAATCTACACTTACTGAGTGGCCACAATGTGCTAGATGTGGTCCCAAGGTTGACAATGATCAAAGTTAGTTATCAATATATATTATAAATCTGAACACACATGAGAAATGTACTCAAGTGGTTTTGTAGCTTTGTTACTTTGCTATGAAAAATCACTGGTTTACTGGAGAGATAGAACAAAAAGGGAAGAATTACCAATTTAAAATAATTTCTGGTACGTGGATATGTTTTAAAAAAAGGAAAAAAATACTGGGATGAGTAATAAGTTACTCAAGAATTTCAATGAAATAACTTTTAAGCTTCAAAAATAAGTTTCATGCATTATCTCCTAAAAATTGAATCTATAATTAAAGCTTATTTCGGGTGCCTCGGTGGCTCAGTTGGTTAGTCGCTGACTTCCACTCAGGTCATGATCTCATAGTTCGTGAGTTCGAGCCCCACATCGGGCTCTGTGCTGACAGCTCAAAACCTGGAGCCTGTTTTAGATCCTGTGTTTCCCTCTCTTTCTGACCCTCCTCCGCTTGCACTCTGTCTCTCTCATCAAAAAATTAAAAAAAAATATTTCATATGTTGGCATCTTTAAAATGTATTATTCATTGCTGACTTTATATTCTATATGTTACTGGTGTCCTTAGAGTAATACTTGGAAAATTTCTACACCAGTTACTTAAGTATTACCTCTGTTGTCGTTCCTAGCAAAAACAAAAAATTTTAAATTCTACCTTCTTTATATTCTATTAAGAAAAGAGTGTACTAAGGGGCTCCTGGGTGGCTCAGTAGGTTAAACGTCTGACTCTTGGTTTCAGCTCAGGTCATGATCTCATGTCTTGTGAGTCTGATCCCTGCATTGGGATCAAGAGCCTACTTGGGATGCTCTTTCTCCCTCTATCTCTGCTCATGTTCTATCTCTCTCTCAAAATGAATAAAATAAACATTAAACAATTTTTTTTTAAAGAAAAGAAGTAAAGGGAATGCAACCCTCGTGGTAAGAGAAGCTTTGTGATAGGAAGGTACCAGCGCAAGCTTTCAGTCCCATTCATCTGAATGACCATCCTTCCATTTCCTTTTTCACCTCCTTTTCTTTCTGTTTTGTATATGGGTTGGCCACAATCCTCATTTGTCACCCTCATTTACAGAGGCTAGAAAACAAGACTGAAGAAGTGAACCTTCTCCAGTGCCATTACTTCTCCCCCATCTCAGTTCTCCACATTTACCCACGCTGAATTTTTTTTCAAGAGTGAAACTAAGGGGAAATAAATGAAAGCTAAAACTGAAAAGTAAAAATAAAATACAGTAAGATGAAATGGTAAGAATGGCAAATAAGACACTGACTTCTTCTAAATATTTAGTTTATATTTAGAAATAGTTCTATCTAAAGGAAGGTTTGTTTTTGTTGGAAGGAGAGAAAGATGGAAATTGTTTCCTTTTAAAGAAAGATCCTTAGAGACCATCTGGTATAAACTAGTGGAGAGTTTCAAAAACAATTCTTCTTTCTTCTTAATTCACAGATTTTGTCAGAGCACCTTTTTAAAAAGGGAAAGTCATCCAAAGGCATTTTCTCTAAATTAGAGTTATAGGCTGGAGGTTTTCCAGTTAGAATTATAGACTAGAGGCTTTCTTTATCAAAGCCAGCTCTATAAAGGAGCAACTGAAATTTTATCAAACAATTAACAGATGGAAAGTTTAAAGAAGTAGTGAACAAAGCAGACACTGGGACCTCTACTTGCACTAAATCAGAGACAGTCATCCGCAGCTCTCCAAGTGGCGCCCATGAAATCTTACCTATCTACGTGGAGATTAGGAGTTGGCTTAAAAGCCACAGCAGCTTCCCCTTGGTCCAGATGGGGCACTCTTGTGTACATGTTATTGAATGCATACCCATCAGGTGGAGGATACTCTGATACACTGGACTGCTGAAAGACAGAGAAACAGAGATTAAAGAATTGCTAAGACTATTTGAATGACCACTGACGTCAATGAACAAAACCCTCCACTATAATATGATCAGTTTCATTTTCAAGTGATTGACCATCACTAACAAATTATGAAATGGGGTTGGTACATTCTTTTCTTATCAAAGACCTATTTATAACAGGAAAAGTCATTAGTACAAAAGCTATATGTTAACTCTGAAAATAGCCGGGTATGCAAGTAATACATTCTTTCCTTAGGAATTCCACTGAAGGTGATTTTGGTATTAGATAGATGTTAACAATTTATATAAAATGAAATTGGTTTAAAAACAAGAAGAAAACTCTTCCCCCTTGCTCTCTAAGTTTAAGGAACAGACCTTTACTAGTCAAACAAAGTAAATGTCACATGAAAATCATCTAAACTCTGTGTATTAAAATTATACCACCCTCTCATTTTTTTAAATGTACACAGTCCCTATTTTTTTTAAATGGCAGCACTATTACCAGATTTACTACTGAGGAAAATACAGAAAGGCAGAAACATACAGATCTTGAGAGTCAGTAGTCCAGGGTAAGATAATGATGGGAGTAATTTCTTTTTATGTTTAACACAATTCTGACATGAGCCTACTAGGTGCTGCCAGGAGGGGGAGCTGAGGTCTGTGGGTCCCAAGGAGCACCATAGTTTTAAAGCTATGAGGAAAAAACAAAGAAACAAAGACCAGAAAACAAAAAAGTACGTAAAGATTTTTAACTGTTTCTTTATGTGAAATGAGTATGGGACACATACAATAGACCCTGAAGCAATGGAAGTCCCTGGCTGTTGAAAGTGTTTGTGAACTCACTGGGGCAGAATATTTGAAACTGGAAATGTCTTAGAAAAGTGTTAGATACATGTTTACTACAGTTCATTCTAATGACAGAGTTAGTTGGAGTACGGATAAACACAGTGTGGGTCGGGTTTCTTCAGTGGACAAGTGTAGATGTCAAAAAAACTCACACTATATTACTCCTCTGGAATATATTTCACTGGAATACACTGCACTTAACACACAAAGAAAAAATTCTCACCATTTAAATACCTTAGCTTAAATCATCAACAAGCCAAAAAGGCAACTTACAAATTCAGAGAAAACATTTGCAAATCATGTATCTGATAAAGACTGAAAATCCAAAATATATAAAGAACTCATAGCTCAAGAGCAGAAACAAAAACAAAAAAAAACCCAACCAACCAACCAAACACAAACAAACAAAAACCCAGTCCAAATAAAAAATGGGTACAGCAACTGAACAGACATCCTTCCAGAGGAGGCATACAAATGGCCAACAGGTACATGAAAAGGTGCTCAACATCTTTAATCATCCAGGAAATGTAAATCAAAATCATAATGACATGTCACCTCACACCTGTTAGGGTGAGGATCATCAAAAAGACGAGATAACAAGTACTGGTGAGGATGTGGAAAAAAAAGGAAATCCCTGTACACTATTGGTGGGAATGTAAATTGGGGCAGCTGCTATGAAAAACAGTATGGAGGTTCCTCAAAAAATGAGAAATGTTCAGTAGTTTCACTGCTGGGTATAATACTAAAGGAAATGAAATTAGGAACTTGAAGAGATATCTGCATCCCCATGTTCACTGCAGCATTGTTCACAATAGGGAAGCAACCTAAATGCCCATTAACAGATGAATGGATAATGTGGTATAAACATACAATGGAGTATTATTCAGCCATGAGAATAATGCTGTGTGTAACAACATGGATGGACTTTGAAAGCATTCTGCTAAGTGAAATAAGCCAAACAGAAAAAGACAAATACGACATGATAGCACTTATATGTGAAATTTACACAAAGAAAAACCAAAGTCAAATTCATGAAAACAGAGTAGAAAAGCGGGTACCAAGGGCTGGGGGAAATAGGAAGAATTTGGTAAAAGGGCAGAAACTTACAGCTATAAATGAGTGAGGTCTGAAGATATAATGTAATGGTGAATATAGCTGAGAACACTATAGTGTATAATTGAAATTTTCTAAGAGAGTAGAACTTAAATGTTCTCACCAAAAGAAAAAAAAAGATAAATATGTGAGGTGATAGATGTGTCAATGTGTTAATTAACTAGACAGGGGGATCCTTTCACAATGTGTATCAAATCACCAGATGAACACCTTAAATATCTTAGGATTTCCAATTATATACCTCAATAAAGCTGAAATTAAAAAAGAAATAAATAGCTTAATTAAGTTGGTTTCTCATTTCCCTGGTTGAGAGCAGAGGCATCAGATGGTTAGGCAGCTTTTTATTAAAGGTTGTTATAAAAGGCGGAGTGCAAGAACCTGGTAGAATCACCCTCACCTTTGGCTAACTTTGAACAGAACAGAGCGAGGTCAGCCAGCATGAGATCACTGGGTCCTAAGAGTGACTGGGAATATTGGGAGGGAGGAGAGAATGATGACAAATGACTAACTGTGATGACTACATACACAGCCTTGTCTAGGGCTGTTGCTGGTTCAGAGGAAGTAAAGAAGTTGAGTATTGCTACCCACATTTGACACCCCACGTCACCTATGCCTTTCGATTCTAAACAAAACCACCAGATCTTGAATCATCCAAGTCTTGTCCTGAGTGCATTTATTTTAGTAGCAATAAAGTATAATAAAGTTTCTCTTCTAGGGATGATTGCATTTTTTATGTATTTTAAATCACCATTACTCAGCCTCTTTTCCAACAAATTCTTAAGGCATCAATTCCCCTAGAACAGCTAGCAGGCGCTTTTCATTTCATTTTTTTAAAACCTCGGAATAAGTACTTAAGCCATAAAATGGCAAATAGTTTACAACAGGAAAATGATAGCTCATTATAAGGAAAGATTCTCAGTAATTCTTCCTTTAAAATTACTTATTCAGTGAGAGTAGACAACTTTTACACTGGGAGCCCAGAACACATTACTCTCCCTTTAAATACACAAATTGAAAAAGAACTCACAGAAGTGAATTTCTGAGGCATGTATTATTAAGTGGATGTATTTTCTTATTTAAGATATAAAGACTGTAAGCTAGAAATTCCTGTGATTTGAAAAGAGTCAGCTGTAACTATAGCAGCAACATGTGTATCATAATTTCCTGTTTGATTACATCTTTTTTTCCCTCTAGAAAAGTCACCCTCTATGAGGAAAGGAAATCCACAGTGATGAGGTCTGAACTATAAAATCCTCATCACCATCCACCAGGATGAGGTCTGGAGAGGGATGTGTGCCTGCCGACCAAGGCAAAGGGCTGTGAAGTCATCTTCTTAATCCCTCATTTAGAAGGACAGGCAGTTATAGACTCTACCCTTATTGTGCCAGAGGAAAAAACAATTACATTAGGAAAAAACATATCTTCAAAGCAGTACATGGGCTTTTTTAAAGTTTTGGAATTTAATCAATCTTCTATAATATTATGGTTATTGTTCAAGGGAATGATTTTTTAAAAATTTAATTTATATAAGTGTTTTTCCTTAAAAGTGAAGATTTACTCTAGTTTGCTAATCATTCCTTCCTATCATGTTTGCTATGAATACCCACAGCAGTCTGAGAAAATTTATCTACGGAATTAAGTAAAGGAAACAAACAGGAACTCAAAGGGGATCTAGTCATCATTTACTGTTTCTTCTCCAAATAGACCTCATTCACCTAATTCCTCAGGTTCTGATCATCCTGTTTGGTTTGCTTCAGCTTTAAGCAATGTTTAATTTTCTGACGGAACAAGAAGAATCACAGAAAAGTCATTTTTAAGAGACGTGAAGGGATAACATAGCCAATTTCAATCCCCCCATTGGCTCCCAAAATAGGTTATTACTCCAAAGCTTACTAAATACTTGAAAGGTACAGTAAATTTTGTGATTCTTCTCAAGGTATGATACTGTTAGAAATGCTCATTTGAGCCTGGGGAATGAATCCAGGAGAAGCTCTGGCCTTCTAGCCAGGCTGAGAGGGCTCCAGGGTTTAGAACTAAATGAAAGGAAGGAAGGGAGGGAAGGAAGGAAGACAGGGAGGGAGGGGGAAGAGGGACAGGAGGGAGGAAAGAGAGGGGAGGGAGGGACAGAGGAGGAAACAAATGGGACATTTGGGAAAAAGCTGCTTGGGACAGGTTAGGAGACCTAGGTCCAGGGAGCTTTCTTTTTTAAATTTTTATTTAATGTTTACTCATTTTTGAGACAGAGACAGAGAGACAGAGTATGAGCAGGGGAGGGGCATAAAGAGAGGGAGACACAGAATCTGAAGCAGGCTCCAGGCTCTGAGCTGTCGGCACAAAGCCCAACGCGGGGCTCGAACTCACTGACAGATCATGACCTGAGCTGAAGTCAGCCGCTTAATCGCTTAACAAACTGAGACATCCAGGCGCCCCAGGGAGCTGTCTTAAGGGTATGATAATGGATGAGAAAAATAGAACAAGCCAACAGGCAACAGGGTGATTCCCTGACAAGGAGAGAAACTAGGCACTCAAAAATTGAGACTGGCTCACCAGGGCACTGGCAGGGTGATGGCTGGCAGGCTGTGGAAGAATGATATGGGGGGGGGGGGGGGGCTTGGGCTTCACAGGGAAACAGAGCAACTGTCACAACAACGATAAAAAGCTGAGAGGTAACTAAGGGCAGCAGGACATTTAAGTCATTAGTTCTAGAACAATCTTCAGATCAATAAAACTAGAACTCGCAATCAGAATTAGAAGAGAATGCACAGATTACTGCACTTTCTACAAAAAGTGATGTTAAAAACTTTACCTCTGTGGATAATCTTTTTGTCTCTTGTTTGCGCTGATGTTCTGCTACATTTGCCACAGACTCAGCCAGCTGATAAAGATCTTGTTCCATCGGTGCTCCCATGAAGTTCAGCATTGGGGGCTCCCAACCGTTGCGGAACCGTGGAACATATGGTGGAATAAATTGTTCTTTTGGCCACTCTGCTCTGTAGAGGGACATTAAGGCATAAAATTAAGAAATGTATCCATGTTCAAAATTACTTTCAACAAGGTTAGCCACAAAAAAACAAAAACAGGGGCTCCTGGATGGCTCAGTCGAGCTGGACTTCAGCTCGGGTCATGTCTCTCGGTCTGTGAGTTCGAGCCCCGCATCGGGCTCTGTGCGGAAAGCCCAGAGTCTGGAGCCTGCTTCGGATTCTGTGTCTCCCTCTCTCTCTGCCCCTCCCCAGCCTCTGCTCTGTCTGTCTGTCTCTCTCTCTCAAAAATAAACATTTTTTCTTTCAAAAACCAACAAAAACAAAGCATACGTAATCTGCCCTCTCTCCACAAATAAAGGGAAAAGGAACATGCTTATGCCAGATTGTAATGCCAACAAAATGAAGATTGAATTTTGCTTCACGATCTGTTTTTTTTACATTGCCTCCATTCTCCATTCATTCATCTTCGTAACATGGATATAGGTTTTGAAAAACTGGAAAGGGAGTGTGAGGCTAGAAGTGCTGAAAGTATTTAGAACATGAACTTCTCTTGCATCTAAAGTAGTTTCAGATTCTCATCTTTCCCTTCCCTTCCCTCTCATCATCATAACCAACCCTCCTGGTGTCAGACATATCTTCCTAAAAAGAAATAACAGAGAATGTTCTGAATGTTTATGCTTTATAAAGGAATAAGTCCACTAAATGAAACATTACCAATTTTATAAATTAAATTTATCAGCTAGTCTTTAATCAGTGAAATCAAGTTAGGACTAATCTGGAACCGTAATCATTACCCATTCATTATTTAATGACTCTGAGTGAGACTTATTTCTACGAGCTCCTAATCACTCATGAACCACAAAAACACCTGGGACAGAAATTATAGGTTCATTTCTGCTCCACTGTGTTGTTTTATCTCTCACAAGTGAAAGATTAATTCTTCAGATTATATTTCTACTATGATAAAATGAGCCATTTTATTCAGATTATTAAGTATCTTCATAATTTTTGTTATCTTTATGAGTTTTTAAATCAGTATATTCTTTTCCTAATACTCTTAACAATTAGGATTTGAAATGACCATCTCTCATGTCAAGAGCTAACAGTGTATTTTCTTTTGATGTAGTTTTTCCAATGGTCATTCATTTTCTCATTGTGAGGTAGGACCCAAAACCAAGAAATTTAAAAATATAGGTTATTTTTGTACTATGAGATCTGATTAATTTAGTAAGTTTCATGTGAAAATATTAAAAGATCCCACTTAGACTTATCAAAAGATCATAACCTACAAATATCTAATGGATTTAAGAAATCTGTTTAACCAAGTTTTTACATAGTATGATATACAAATAGCATGGTATATTAATATACAAATAATAAAAATAAATTTAAATAATGCTTTCAATATAAAAGTAACAACTACAGTGCTTTTAAAGAATTTTTTGCTTGGTAAACCATTCAATATGTAAGCCATATTCCAACACAAGCTGTTGCCAAAGTGCAAAATACAAGTGGGAACAGTTTATATGTGTTTCCACAAAAGAAACAGAAGAAAGAAAGTATGAATTGATCCATTACTTTTAGGCTAGTCCATCCAAAAGCATTAGGAAGAAAAGCTTCTAAATGACCACCTGAATGGCTTATTCTAAGTAGTGAGAGCAATAAAATGATTTGGATAAGAAAGGCAAAAATTATTTATTCAATGTCATAAAATGAGAAAGTTTTATACCTTGCTTTGCTCAGAAAAACTTTAATACTGCAATGATAAATGATGCAATGTTAATGATCTGTCTTCCACAATCACTTTATTGACAAGATACAATTTTTAAAATGATCCCCTCCTTCTTTCTACCCAGAGAAGGATCTTGTCTTTCCTGAGCTCAACTACCAGACTGATCTTTCTAAAACACAGATGTGATTATGTCACACTCCTATTCACAAAGCTAGTGGTTCTCTGCAGCCTATACAATCTTCTCCAACTCCATAGCATGGCAGGGGGAGCCCTCATAGCCCACCTGTTCATTTCCATGTGCCTCATTTAACACCATTTTCTCCTCTCCCCCTTTTCCACAAGCACCTGCTACCCAAAGTTTATATGTCAGCTAAACCCATATTCATTCTCCATTCTCTTGACTTCCTGCTTCACGCCCTCATTTGTGTTTCTCTATTAGAAAAACCCCTTCCCAATTATGTATTCGTGGAAATCCTACTCATCCTACTGAGAGGCAGCATAGCAAAATAATTATGGACATCAACTCCAAAGCCAGACTGCCTGAATACAAATGGCAGATCTGCCACTTAAGAGTTATATGGCTTTGAGCAAATTACTTAACCACTCTATGCCTCAGTTTCCTTATCTGTAAAACAGTGACAACAATAGTACTTACGTAAAGTTCATGGAAGACTGCTTAGCAAACCCTATATGTATGGTGTGTACATATATATTACACAATATGTGACTATTATTATCTATTGATTTAAATGCCAGCCCTTCTCTGAAAGCTAACTACCCTCCTCTTTAAATCCTCCTCCTGATGGTTCCACCTTGCCAAACAACAGCAGTTTATGTGTCACTCCTGGTACTTAACGTGCCTTATATTGCGCATACTTTATATCTTTTCCACTAGACTAGCTTTTGAAGGGTTTAGGCTTTTTCTCTGTAATGCCTGGTCCTTCATAAGTAGAAGGCTAAAAATATGTCTCATTAGATTCATGTAATAACAAAGAACAATACTTAAAGTATTATAGGTATTAAACTCATACACTTACCTGGCTTTCATCCAAGTTTCTCCCAGTGACACCCAAAGCTGCCTTTCATCAGCGTTGACAGTATAATTCAAGAAATCAATTGTGTCCTTAGTCAACAGGGGGCTGAGTACTGAACTGGCTAGTTCAGGACCTCCTGTTGCCTGCACCACCTAAAATGACAATAAATCATTTTTTAGCAAGAAGATGATGATTACTTGTATATTTTCAAAATATGTAAAATCTATGCCCAAAACAAGCACTGTTTTCATATACTCAAATTTTGACGTTGTGCAGTGTACTACTGAATGAAAAACAGTTTGTTAAGTCAACTTGCCCAGGCTAATAGTGCCTAATAATCTAGAATGAAAAGTTAATAGTTTAACGACTTTCACAGGATCTGTCTATTGGCTGCACAGGACTGTATTTTCCCTGGAAAATACTAATGGCTATCCAGAGAATTCTAAGTCAGGTGGTTTAACTATCTGCTTTTTGCTTTAAAAAAAAAAAAAAAAAAAAAAAAAAAAAAGTACATGTATCTTCCCTGGCAAATCTATTATGCCCAACTTGAAAAATACGGTTCTATAAAGGAATACTCTAGAGAGAAATAAGTCTCAAGTTAACAGCCTATGGCTGTGCCTATAAAGACATACAAAAATAAAAGGATCCGGAGAGAAAAGTGAGAGAAGAATGAGAACTGGTACTCTGAATCTATGACAGCTTTTCCCAGAATCGAATTCTAGGAAACTGTCCTGATTTAAAATGGATAATTTAATGACTAGCAGAAACAAATAAACAGGTGCAACTCTCTGATAAACAAAATGATGATAAGTGTATGTCTGGAAACTGCTCCAAATTGACTTCTCAGAGGCTATTTCCTGGCTAAAGAATGGTAGTTATCTCCTAGAGCAGAAACCAGAGCCCTTTTATAAAAATTTCACTTTCCCAGAGATATGGCACAAGTAAAAAGGGATTTTTTTTGAATGGCTTCAGACCAAGAGTCAGTTTCTCCCCAGTCATCCAAGTGCCCTGAGCATGCCATGCTATCGTATACCTCTGTGTATCTGCACATGTTTCTTCCCAGTTCCCCATGAGGTCCTTCGTTCATCACTCAGAACTCTACTCCAGTACCACCTCTTCCAGGAAGCCCTTCTTAACCCCACAGCATAGCTCTGAGGCACCTCACTGTCCCCAAAACAATTTATATGTATTAGCAACATATTACATTTTAACTTATGGCTTATTCTTCAGTTTTCCCTCCCGTGAGGACTAGGACCAAACCAAGTGAACTGCAGAAAACACAGTGTTGGAGGGATGAATGAGAATCAGTGAAAGACCAAAGATAAGGAGGGACATTGGCTCTTACTTGAGAACAAAACCCACCCTGACTGTTTAGCATGTAATTTTCTTACTTCCAAGCCCTATAAGCACTTCTAGTAAATGTGTAGGGATGATTAAGAAGGAAAAGTTAAGGAGTAAAATCTAAGAGTAAAGGAATTTTTAAATCTTTGGTTTCACAGAGGGAGGAGGGAATGAAACAAAAGAAATGTAAATAAAAAGCTGCAAGACATAGTTCCCTCTGGAGAATGGATGTCAGGCAGGTTTGCATGTATGTGTGCTGTAGGTAAGCTTGTGTGCAGATGCTGGGGGCAGGCAGCAGGTTTTTCAAGGTTTAAAGCCATTCAATTTTGTGTGGCTGGAAGTAGGCTCTTTATGAACGTTCCTTCCCAAGTTTCTTATCCAAGTAATACATCTGGATCTCTGTAGGCAGAACATTAAAAGAGCAACAGACATATTTTGATCAGAGACACCATTAATAAGGACTCATTTTTGATGAAAAACAAAGATAAAATACATCATATTTTCAGATACATAGCCTGATCGCAAAAGCTAATTTCTACATGCTAGGGAAACCAGTCCTATTATCTTATAGTTCTCCTCTATGTAATGACTACGCAATTACTTACAATGTGTGAAAGAGTTTGAAAGAATGAGAAGGTGGCAAAAAACTGCTCTATAACCAACACTTCCTAATACGCAAACTAAGACAGTATCAAATGTGTTAAAGAATAAGGAATATAGGGGCACCTGGGTGGCTTAGTAGGTTAAGCGTTCGATTCTTGATTTTGGCTCAGATCATGACCTCGCAGTTTGTGAGTTTGAGCCTGGTGTCAGGATCTGCACTAATAGTGCTTGGGATTCTCTGTGTCCCTCTCTCTCTGCCCCTCCCCAACTCATACACGTGTGTACGCACCCCCCCACACACACACACACAAACTCTCTGTCTCTCAAAAATAAATAAATATTTTTAAAAAGGAGTGAGGAATATAAATTTTGTTAATGAGCTAGTCTGGGCTTCATTGCATGTGAATGGCCTTGATCTAATTTTTAAAAGAGCTTATATAGCAAGAATTATTCAATAATAACTAGACAAGTAGAAATTTGATGTTCTATATATAGCAACAACATATGGGAGCATTCATAAATTATTGATGTAGCCTTGGACTCTCATCTTCTAATCTTTTATTGCCCAGTTCTGACATTTATGCTGATAATGTTACTTTCCTATGTTTGTAAAGCAATATTCATTTCATATTCTACTTCAGGTCTTGTCTAGTTGCCCTTGAGGAAAGGATAAGATTTATTATTCCTTTTTGTAACTTGGATTTTGTTTTTCTCATTTTTTTTCTGATAATCAAGTAAAAGCTATGAAAAATGCATTTGAATTTGCTCCATTTTTGATAAATATTAAAGAACTCAAACCATAATGTCCATATGCCCTAAACCAAAATTAAGCTTATTGGCTTCATATAGTTCTTACTCTTTAAAAAACAGCCATAGAAATAATAACACCAAATAATCACACACTACTATACTAACAATTATCATTACTGCTATTGTCATTCTGTTCTCTATTGTCTGCCCTTCTGACAGGGAAAGCCATTCACAACCACTCCACCTGTGCCTGCCTTAGCCCAGAAAACAGGAAACTCTGTCCTCCTGGAAGTATTTAAAACAGATTCTGCCTTCTTTTTACTCCTTGCTCACTTGTCCTCCCACAAAACGGGAATGACCTAGCTAATTGGTGGAATTGTAGAAAAGAGTGATTTGTAGCCCAGTCTCTTTTCATACCTGTCTGTATGTGGGGCCAACAATTGTTCTGCCTGCTTTCTGTCGCCATGCTTTTCCTAAGCCCCAGCATTTTTTTTGTGTACTCTTAAATATTCCAGTGAATTCTCCTAGCTGTCCTGTAGGACAAGACGGTTCTACATAAAGTCAGCTTGGAACAATTGCTATTACAATATTTGCAAGTATAAGAAATATAAAATAGGAAGGGAAGTATATTATCATACCATATAAGGAAAGAACATACCTGGATACTGAAAATTCAGAAAATGAAGATGTGTATCTTGGATCCTGGCCTATGACACAAGGGTATATAACCTTTTGCTGGATAAGCTCATAGGAAAGTCCAACTCCTCTACAAAGGGAATTGTTTCCAACACACCCTTCTTTTTAGCTTCAAAAATTATACCTTATGTGAGGGGGGTGGCCTTGGTGGCTCAGTCGGTTAAGCTTCTGACTTCAGCTCAGGTCATGATCTCATGGTCTGAGAGTTCAGGCCCCGTGTCAGGCTCTGTGCTAACAGCTCAGAGCCTGGAGCCTGCTTCGGATTCTGTGTCTCCCTCTTTCTCTACCCCTCCCCCACTCTCACTCTGTCTCTCTCTCTCTCTCTCTCTCTCTCTCTCAAAAATAAATAAACATTAACAAAAATTTTTTAAATTATACCTTATATAAAAATATACCTGTATGAGAAGGGAGTTTTCTGGGGAGAAAAAAATTGTATTACCTGCCTGTCACTCAACCTGACATATAGTGGGCAATGTAAGGACTACTAATTGTTCCCTAGTGTCCACTCTCTTCTCCCATCTAGAAAGAGAAGCCCCTACATTTTAGATGAACCAACACAGATGGAGACTATATTACTCTGGTGTTCGGTGTGGCTATATGAGAACATTCAGGCCAACTGGACAAAGGCAGAAATTATCTGTTTAATTTCAGAGTCACTTCCTTAAAGACAAATCATCTTTCTTTGCCTTTGTACAGCTGTAACAAGAACGTGGAGGTAAAATCAGCTTCCACCACACAGATACCTGACACAGTTGTTCAATTCTTCCTCTTGGAAACATTTTCTTCATTTGGCTTCCAGAACACCATAATATTCTTATTTTTCTTTTCCCGACTTAACTGCTTTTTCTCAAATCTTTTTTGGCTCTTTCTATTCTCCTCACACTGAAACTGCACAGGGATCCACCAGTCCTTACTCCTCTTCTTTATTTGTAACTACTACCTTGGTAGTAGTCTCTGTCTTACCTATTGTTTTTTACATTTTGGTTAATAATTAGGCCATCTCTTCACTCATAGGCCAAACTTTGGAGATACGCTTGGCTGTTGCACAGCATGTCCTATCTACCAGAAAGTGTTGCTTCTATGGTTTACACCCAGAATCGGGCTTCTTACGATCTCTAATGCTACTTGATCCAAACACCGTCATCTCCAATCTGGATTATTCTAATAACCATTCCAGTCTCTTCTTCCGCCAGATCTCCCAGTATTACAGCCAGAAGAATCCTTTTGGCGAAAACCTTCCAAAGTGTACAAGATTTCACAATCACCTACAAGGACCAACAAAATATGACCTTCCGTTTCTTTGCTAACCTCATTTCCAATTAAGATCTCCCTCATTCTATGTCAGTCACAATACTTATTTATTCCAAGAGCATAATTTGCAATTACCACCCCAGAGCATTTACAACAGCTGCTCTCTACCTGGAATTCTCTTCTTTCAGAAATCCACATGACTCATTCCTCACTTCATTTGCTCAAATGACACCTTCTCACCTTAACCAACCCTATTCAGAAAGGGTACTACTCCAGCTCACAACTCACGTGCGCACTTGCATGAGCACGCACCTGAAATGCTCCGTTCTCTGTCCCTACTGCATTTTTTCAAGTAACACTTATTTTTAGCAAAATGCATTATTTATGCATGTATTTAGATTAACAATTGCCCCTCCATACTACAATATACGTTCCAAGAGGGTAAAAATTTATGTCTGTTTTGTTCCTGATAAGCTACGAATAATACGAAGCACACAGCAGGCTCTCAATATTTGTGAATACATAGATACATGAGCAAAACCTTCCATCCAGTACCAGCGCCTCCTCATGTCTAGCCTATTTTGGGAGAAAGAGAAAAGCTTTTATATTATTATAGCCATTTCTATTTCTATTATATACTAGTATACATTGCAACACCAGCATCCGCTAAATCTTTGTTTTCATTTCCCTAGCGCTGTCACAGACATCAGTTTCCTCAACTGTAAAATAAGGTGTTTGAACTAGATGATTTCTAAGGTTCTTTCAAACTCTCAAATTGCACATTCTTGATATGTGCATAGATGCCAAGGGAAATAGCATCCATGCAAGGTGATGAAGAAAAACTGTCTAGGTAACTCCAGCCAGGCACATGGGGTTGAAAAACGTACTAAGAGTAATTCCTTTCTTATATTAACAAAGCCTTACCATATTTAATGGAGTAAATAAAAAATGAACCAAATCTGCAGCACTCGGATTCTGGATATGAGACTTCAGTTTGGCCTGTAGCATTAAGAAACCAGACAAACAGATTACTATGATGTAATAAGCAAAAAACAGACACTCATGAAGGTCCAACACAGACTCAGAGGAAGAGTTCTTTACACCTACTTTCACTTTTAGTGTATTAATCAGCCTAGGTAAGTCAGATTAGGGGAATTTAGTTTTTAAAAAGTTAGGAATCATTCCTTTTTGATAATTTGCTTAGATACATAGGTTTTACTAGCTACTGTCCTAATTAAAGAAAAATCAAGACACACATACCAAAAAACCCACAGGAAAAAGCTTATCTCTTAATTTAATCAATAACATCCTGGCAGGGCTTTGATTTCTTTCATTTGTTTCTTTTAGTTATATATAAATAAATTTCACCTACCAGAAGGTTAAATCCATGTTTAAACTTTTGTAAACAGTCAATAAATTCATCAGGAGGAGGAGGTTTTGCCCGCAGAGTTAAAACGCCCTCTAAAAGAAATAAATGGGAAGAGGGACAGATGAAAGCAAAGTTCTAAGAAAATACATTAAATGAAAAAGTAGAACACATTTGCGTCTATAAAATTTGATGATCATACCAGATACCACGCTGTGTAGCTACTCTACCACATGTCATAGACTAACTGCAACAAACTAAGATGATCCGACATTTGAAATGGATTCTTCTATCCTTAGGCACTACCAATTACTCATCAATTCCATAAACGTATACTGTAGCCTTTTTATGTCCCAGTTACTGTGCTTATCATTGCAAAGACTATAAAAATGTATAAGTTATGGGGCCTCCGGGGGGCTCAGTGGTTAAGCAACTGACTCTTGATTTTGGTTCCGGTCGATTTCACGGTCATGAGACTGAGCCCCTCCCTCATCAGGCTCTGTACAGAGCATGGAGCCTGGTTAGGATTCTCTCTCTCCCTCAGCCCCTCTCCCCACTGCTCTCTCTCAAAATAAATAAATAAACATTTTTTTTTAAATGTGTAAGTTATAGGCCCCGCTCTGTAGGGCCTTAAAATCTAATGGAAGACATGAATCAGATAAGTAACAAAGATACACCAATGAAGTACTATAGAAAGAGACTACACCTGGTTGGGAGTTGGGAGGATGTACACCTAAAAGATGTTTCACAGGGAAAGTAGCCTTTAAGATGAGATTTGGAAAGTCTGTTACATGGCAATTTGGTAAGAAAATGTCATGGTTGGATAAAAACAGCATAACTAAAAAACATGAAAAAAGGAAATCGTATGTACATGAAACAACAAACTAAAACAAAGAAAGACGAGGATGGAAAAGTACATCAAGGTTAGATTGTGGGTGACCTTGACTGCCAAGGGGAGGAGTAGGCTTAACTCAACAGAACATGGAATTAACATGCTTTTAGGAGAACAAAGTGACTGCCTTAGAGCTTTAAGACAACTGTCCTCCCAGAATAAAAAACTGGAGGCTTGAAGACTACTTAGAGAGCTGGGTAAAAATGATCACAGTTTGAAGCAGACACTAGTTATGCAAATGAAAATGAAAACAACTGGATATAAAACACAGTGAAGGAGCATGTGGATTGCTCAACCGGTTAAGCATCGACTCTTGATTTTGGCTCAGGTCATGATCTCATGGTTTGTGAGATCGAGATGCATGTCAGGCTCGCCGTTGAGCATCCTGCTTAGGATTCTCTCTCTGTCCTTCTGCCCGTCTCCCCTGTTCACACACTCTCTCTCCCAAAAAGAAACAAAACAAAAACAAAGGAACAAAAAAAACCCCAACACATTGAAAAAATAATATTGATATTGGCTGTAAGCTAGAGAATGAAATCATACAAGAATCTGTGGTCTAGAATCTGGGTGACCAAAAGGATAGAACACCCTTCATAAAGAATACAGCAGGAATAAGAGGTGTGAGACATAAGGAAGCAATAATACTTAATCTCAGAATATAAGGAAGTGACGTATATATCCAGATATACACATTTGGAAGACAGGTCTACAGGTCACATGCTTATGATATAGACATGAGCTAGAGAAAGACTGGAAAGTCATGTGTCATGAAAGGAATATTTATTTACTATTATTTTATGTATTTCATTATGTTCTACAAGTGCAAGTTTATATATTTTGAAGCCATTTTAAATAGCTAACTACAGCATACTCAAAAACTGCTTGTATGTGACCTGAACATATTGTTTGGGAGTTCTGTGATTAAAAAAAAAAAAATCAAATCCACTGACATTTGCAACTATATTAATGAGAAAAATCAATCCTTCTAACAAAATAATGAGGTTCTATATTTATAATAAAATACATCCAATTATGGGAAGAATAGAGCTATGACTTTAGCAGACATTAATTCTGCAGTCACTAATTAAAACTATAAACAGATGGTCACCAGCTGCATCTCAGAGTCTCTGTGATTTAGGTGAAGTATCCTAGACTCTTTCCTTACCATAGCCAACTTCGAACCAAAATGGACTTTTCCCTGGGCTCATCTTAGTCTCTGCCTAACTTCCAGGTGCTATCCCAAAATAAAAAAAGGGACCTTGGCCCACTGTCAATGGAGTTTTGCTGAGCAGTTCACAAGGGCAGAAACTCTGCCTAGCACTGGAGTTCTCAAAGGTCTTTAGAAGATTAAGAAAATCCAACTTACCTCCTGGCCCCTTCTTTTTACCTTTCTTAGTCTTCTTCCTTTTAGAAAGCTCAGAAAATGCTTCAGCTGCTTTTTGGAGTTTTGTGATAAAAAATTCAATATCATCCAAAATGTGGTTTAATATTTGCTGGAATTAGAAATTACAGAATGAAATGTAAAACAAAATAAGACAATTTTTTGCCTTGACTTTATACTGTCAGTAAAGGAAAATTAGAAAAAAAAATACCTCCCACGTGCAAATTTTAAGTTTAGCACTAATTCCAAGAAATGAATTAAACTAAATATATCTATACCTGTGGCTGAAGTCTGACATTCACATTTTTCTTTAGTTTAATTTTGTTCTATTTTCAATACCATCAAGAAAGCATTCACAGTATCTATTCAGATTATTAATTATTTTCAACTACTCTAATTTTCTCATAGTGTTTCTTCCACATAAAGTTAGGGTAAAAATTTCTAAGAAATATCTTGTTAGAAGAGCACTAAGCATTTTTGTTTTTTTTAACAAATGTCCCAATAAAGTACCGACAGTATTATTTCATGGAAAAAGGTATACAGAATGTTGTATAACCTAATAAACACATAGATAACCTAGAATAGTCATTAATAAGAGTTTCTACATGGTTAAATAGAATCAATGATGAATTATGCTTTCAGGGATTATTGGATGAATTTTGATTATACTACAGTCTTAGCTGACTTTCTCTACTTTGTGTGAAACCTGACATTCTTCTAATTTAAAAGACTAGAAATCGGGATTAAATAAACTTCTAAGTGTAATAAATAATGGTGTGATATAAAAATGAAGTTCCAAACTTCAAATTCCTCTAAGTATTTGTTTACAAATAAGCTAGGAATGTGTGTATAGTATAAAAATAATTATATTATGATCATATGTTGTTACTACATCACAGGACATTCTCACTGTATAAGTAAATTACTATGGACTAATAAAAATAAATACAGCCTCATCCTTTATAAAGAGTTAAAATTTACATTTTATTTTTTTAGGAATTATAAAATATTTTTTAATAAATGTCATGAAGATACATCTAAAAGATATTTCAATTATGAATTACAAACTATGAAAAAGTTAAAATCCCTCAAATCTGATAATTCAGTTTAAATTCCTTTGTAAACTAGTTAATATGCTAGTTCTTCTATCAGAGCCCTATTCTACTAAATATTGGCATAAAGGCAAAAAACAGTTAAGATAAATAATTCAAAGGGCATAACCACCAATGGAAAGAGAAAATATACTTTCCACAGAACACCTTTATTTAAATCAACTTCATTTTCCCTGTTGATATTTTCTCCCCTTTAAAAAACAAAACAAAACAAAAAGCCAATGATCTAAAGACGAATGGTAGACCTACCACATCTCTGTCAATTCGGGCTGCCATCATCTCAGGCGTTTCTTCCTGCTCATGATACTGCCTTGGCTTCTCAACTAAAGAAAGGAAATCATTAAGTCTTTCCACCTGTTGCCTGAGCAGTATCAATATAGGTAATGGAACATGAAAAGAGTACCATTTACAAAAGAGAACACCTTCTTTAGACACAGAATCAAAATTGCTCGTCATCTATGAATGACATGCACTCTTGCTACCACTAAAAAAGAAGGACTCGGGCAGAGCTTTCAACCTTCACAATGCTGATTCACCCTGTAACTTCCCCGCTATTTTCCCTTCTTCCTGACAGTTGCCTGTGGAACCAATCATAACTTCTCATCCTATAATTCCTACAGAAGAAAACAAGTACCAACTCACATTTAAGCACCTACCCCTCAAAAACTGGCCAACTATTTCTAACGCAACAAACCTCCCAATTCTTACACATTCCAACACTTTGATTATAATAAAGCTTTGGGGGTTCTGACAGTAAAGTCCTTTTTAAAATTCTGACAGTAGGGGCACCTGGGTGGCTCAGTCAGCCAAGCTTCTGACTGCAGCTCAGGTCATGATCTCACCGTTCCTGAGTTCAAGCCCCACGTCAGGATCTGTGCCGACAGCTCAGAGCCTGGAGCCTGTTTCAGATTCTGTGTCTCCCTCTCTGTCTCTACCCCTCCTCCACTTGTGCTCTGTCTCTCTCTCTCTCTCTCTCTGTCTCTCAAAAATAAACATTTAAAAAATTTTTTAAAATAAAAAATAAAAAAATTCTGACAGTAAAGTGCTTTTTATTTATTTATTTAAAAAAATTTTTTTAACGTTTATTTATTTTTGAGACAGAGAGAAACAGAGCATGAACAGGGGAGGGGCAGAGAGAGAGGGGGACACAGAATCTGAAACAGGCTCCAGGCTCTGAGCTGTCAGCACAGAGCCCGATGCGGGGCTTGAACTCACGGACCGTGAGATCATGACCTGAGCCGAAGTCGGACGCTTAACCGACCAAGCCACCCAGGCGCCCCAGTAAAGTGCTTTTTAAAATGTCATTAAGCTTAAAACATGCAATGTTGGGCTCACTGACTTACACTTTAAAAGTATAAATGCCCTACAGGATTTGTAAATTAAATAATAGATATCTTAAGAGCATTCAAGATATTAAGTTAGCTCATTGAGCTAAAGCATGATGTTAATTGTAAGGTCATTATCATGATCTCCTTCCTGGTTAACACTACTACTAAACATAGATACTTCTACAAACATTTCACAGTATATGGAATAAAAAAACCCAAAAACTGTACAGATGAAACAGGAAAAATGTACCATCAATAATGGAAATGCAACTCATAATACATCATGACTCATGATATTCAATACAGAAAACTATAAAAAAATACTCAAAATTCTGTATCGCTATGCCTTTTTATGCCTAACTTTTCCCCAAAAAAGGAATAGGTACCCCCACACACACACAAAAGAAGAAATTACAGAGTCTTATGAAACTTAATTAGTGGCTGTAAAGTACTTTAAGATAATTAGAATTTACATTCATGAAATCTTGCCAGTTAAATGCTGTTTTGCATGGGTTAGCTACTTCCTTGGGTATTGTATACTACAGAAAGCAGCAAGTTGACCTTGAAATATAGCTAGTAGGAACTCCAGATAGGTCCCAAAATGTCACTTGGCAGGTGAGATAAGGGAGAGGTGCAATATCTTGCAGACTTTTTCATCACCTAGGACCCCTTCTGCCACTATTCTACAGAGACCACTTTTAGAAGTCATGGATAAGGCTATGTCAAGGATTCAAAGGAGATTTTAGCCTGAGTCAAGAGGGACCAAAAGATACTTCTTGCGGGGGGGTCACGGAAGCAGGGGGGTTTGCAGTGGATTTCCAACTAAAAACTTGCCTGGATCCAGACAGAACCTCACATCGGTAAGTGTTATGTTCTATTTGGTCTAGTAGAAAATTAGAAGTTCTGAAAACCGTTTCTTACTTCAATTTAAATAGATGAGAATGCACAGCATATTTTAGACAAAACCTAATGAGAGCCCACAAACACCCCAGGAACACATTTTCTCTTTTCTGTAAATTATATTAGTTTTACAGATGTTTTTACAATTTTATTCAGAATATTTGTAAACTTAAGATATCTTATCCTTCCTCAACTTCAAGGAAGACCATTTTGATCTCTCTCAAAACCCACATTTCTTCCACCAAACAGCAGCAACAACAAAAGTACCATAAGAACAAAAAAGTAAAAAACACTATAAACTCCTACCAGTTTTTTTAAACACAAAATTTTACAAAAAAAAAAAAAGCATCAACAGAAATTTACCTTATAAATTTCTAAAAACAGAAATTGTTATAAAAGTTAAAGTAAGTAATTCTGTTACTTCACTTTTGATAAATGGATGTTTCAAAGATTTCTTTCTTTCATCTGTTTGGTAGCTGGGCTTATGTGTAAATCTCTAAAAATAACTTTAAGGATACCAAAACACAAAACAAAACAAAACAAAACAAAACAAAACAAAACAAAACACTAAATAAAATGGAAAGCATTTCAGAAATAAAATGAACTCCACTTGGCAAAAGTGAGACCAACCACACATTATGTGTACTACACTGCAAGAGATACTGTTAGAGGCGTTACTTGCTTTCAGATTCACAGCAACCCATGAATTATTATCCCCATTTTACAAGTGAGATTGAAGCACAGAGAGATACTGTCCAAGGTCACACAGTAGATCCTGGTCTTATTCCAGAGTCTAACTTGCAACTCATCAGATTCAAAATAAAGCCCAGTGTCACTCATTTTGGCCACCAAGTTCTATTGTTTACCTACCCTGCTAGATATCCTGTATGAATAATGCTTTATTAGATAAAGGATAAGTGATTTAAGAAGTCTATTGAACTGTGAGGCAAAAGAGTGAAGCTTCATCAAATTCAAACTTGCTGGATCACAATTATTAACCCCTATAATGAAGACACTGGACCTAACAACATATCATAAGGCATTATCGGTCATAACAATTTCATATTTGGCAAGAAACATTCTGACATGTAAAATGTTACACTATGTTCTATGCTGTGATTTGTCTTTTAAAAAGAATACCAAGGTAAAATGATGGTGCCCACAAGGGCCCCTTTGACAAGCTTAGCCAGATGGAGAATGCCTTTTACTCTTGTCCTAATACTACCCTGATATCCTTTTCATGAAAGCAAAACACTTTTTCCAAATAGAAAAGATAATAATAATGGAAAGAATTTTGAAGTATAGTCTTTAAAAACAAACTAGTAGACTCTTGTTTGGTATATATCATGTTACCATCTTTTTGTTAGCTGAGTCAAACTTCCCATCTTTGATTGCATTTAAAAAAAAAAAAAAAAAGGGACCGTAATCCTAACACCATATTTATTTAAATGACTGGCCTGAACTCTCGTATACAATAGTCTTAAAGTGTCCAAGGCTTAAATTTCTTTTCTAAGTTTTGTTTCAATTAAAAAAGCTAACCTCAGGCTTTAGCTCAGAAATCAGCATCAGAATTTGAAAGCAAGAACTATGTCACAACCCATAATAAATGTTCAAGAAGTAGCAGTTCCTAGAAACACTCACAGTCCCCCTGGTCAGCTGCCCACGCAGACCAGGCTGCCACACGACTTCTAACATCCACCTGGGTAACAGTCCCAGGGGGCACTGGGGCAGGAGCTCTTGGTGGAGGCGGTATACAAGGGTCTGCTTTTGAAATCATCCTAAAAAAGACAAAAAAAAAAAAAAAAGAATTTTTTACCATCTTACTTTCTATCAATTCTCTCAGTTTATGGTATTAGTTCTTCAACCTTAGGAACTATGTCAAGAGGTAGAACAATAAGGGTTTCCTAACCATTTCATATTATATATATTTACAAATGTACATCAAATACAAAAACATAGGAACATTTTAATTCAACTGATCACTAGGTTTAATTTTTTTTCCTGTGCCTCCTGTGATTTGGAAAGGCTGTGAACTAACTATATTCCTCACATCTATTTGTACTCCCTTAGGCGGACCTTCCCTTAAATTGTCACTCATCAGTCCTGACTCTCTTGGACAACACACGTGGGAGAGAAGCCTTCTCAGAGAAAGACCAGAAACACGGAGGGAAAATGTGCACACGTAAACCCATAAACTGACAAACTCAGAAGAGCAAATGAGTTGAAATCACAGGTTGTAATCTCTAAAATATACCTTCACTGAAGGCAATCTTTCTAAATCTTTAGAGCAAAAAACAAAACAAAAAACCACAAATGAAAAAACTTTTCTAACAAACAAAACAATTCTACCCCTCAATCTCTTTTAATGATTTTACCTCAGGGCTTCGGGCCGCCTCTTCTGTTTCCCTCCTTTACTGTCACTGATTGCACTTTCAATGTCTTCACTAATGAGGTTTGCCTGCAATGAAAGACAGGAGGTCATAGATTTTTCTTGTCTTGATATGTAGGTTCAAACAACAACAACAAAAGGGATTATGTTTCCTGTCTGAATCAGTAAGTGTCTTGACACAAAAGAAGTGTTTTCTTTTTTTTAAACGTGCTTTTCAAACATGACTCTTGTGGTTTTTTGATGGTGAACTTTATAATGGCCAAATTTATTTATTTATTTTGTTTATTTATTTTGAGAGAGAATGCAAGTGGGGGAGGGGCAGAGAGAAAGGGAGAGAGAGAATCCCAAGTAGGCTCCACTCTGTCAGCGCAGAGGTCGACACAGGGCTCAACCCCACGAACTGTGAGATCATGACCTGAGCCAAAATCAAGGGTCGGACGCTTAACCAACTGAGCCACCCCGGCGCCCCAAAGACAAAATTTAAAACGCGAAGAAATTTTTAAAGATTATCTAGTCCAGATTCCATTAGTTTAGACACAAGTTATCCTCGCATAAAGGCAAAGAGGAGAGGGATTTGCATGTGCTGGAAGTATAGGTACATGCAGAAAGTATAACTGGGGGAAAATCTCTGCCTAAGGAGAAATGAAGGAAATAGAAGTGAACGCGTGAGGAACAGAGCTCCTTTCCCATTCTCATCCTCAGGCTCCAGCGGGCGTCTATTAACCTACTGCAAAATATCACTCAGACCCAGCAGATACTGTCAGTTTAGAACAAATACACTATAATCATGGAATGAACCCCCAACACTAGGTTGTATCCTTTTGTATCCTATTTTGTCATTTCAGATAAAAGTTAACTTTCTCCAAACAATTAACTTCTCTAATACTCTCCCAACAAGAATATCTGATTGGGTTTTCTTGAGAAACAAGGTAAGATTAGTAGCAAAGAATTTTATTTATGGCCAGTGATTATTACTGCATATTAGATTCTTGCTAGGATGTACTCATCTTCTATTTTTTATTCCTGTTGGTTCTCTGTAACTATGTATGTTTTTCTCAAATATGTATGTTGTATATTCTTTTACCATAAGCACAGATAATCATAAAATTTAGAGCTGAAAGGAAACTTGAAGATTATCTAATATGTTCTCATTTTATAATTAATGAAACTGAAGAATACTCATGATAGCTTGGCCAAGGTCACATTCCTAAATAATTGTGAGGGCTAATGCACCCTAGTTCAGTGTTACTGCCATAAGAATATCTTACTTTCAGGAAGATATAATAAACATCCTGTCAAAGGCTCTCTATTACGCAGGATGTTAAATAAAACTGAAGATGCCTTACGAGCAATTAAACACCAACAAAATGGGCAATCTGGAAGAAATGGACAAATTCCTAGAAACATATACACTACCAAAATTGAAACATGAAGAAATAGAAAATTTGAACAGACCCATAACCAGTAAAGAAATCAAAATAGTAATCAAAAATCTCCCCCCAAAACAAGAGTCCAGGGCCAGATGGCCTTCCAGGGGAATTCTACCAAACATTTAAAGAAGAGTTAACACCTGTTTTCTTGAAGCTGTTCCAAAAAAATAGAAATGGAAGGAAAACTTCCAAACACTTTCTATAAAGCCAGCATTACCTTAATTCCAAAACCAGACAAAGAGCCCACTAAAAAGGAAAACTATAGACCAATTTCCCTGATGAACATGGATGCAAAAATCCTCAACAAGATACCACCAACTGGATCCAGCAATACATTAAAAAATTATTCACCACAACCAAGTAAGATTTATACCTGGAATGCAGAGCTGGTTTAATACCTGCAAAACAACCAATGTGATACATCACATCAATAAAAGAAAGGACAAGAACCACATGATCCTGTCAATAGATGCAGAGAAAGCATTTGACAAAGTCAGCATCCTTTCTTGATAAAAACCCTCAAGAAAGTAGGGACAGAAGGATCATACCTCAAGACAATAAAAGCCATATATGAAAGACCCACCACTAGTATCATCCTCAATGGAAAAAAACTGAGAGCTTTCCCCCTAAAGTCAGGAACAAGACAGGGATGTCCACTCTTGCCACTGTTATTCAACATACTATTGGAAGCCTTAGCCTCAGCAATCAGACAACACAAAGAAATAACAGGCATCAAAATCGGCCAGGAGGAGGTCAAACTTTCACTCTTCACAGATGACATGATACTCTAAATGGAAAACTCAAAAGATTCCACCAAAAAACTGCTAGAACTGACCTATGAATTCAGCAAAGTTGCAGGATATAAAAATCAATGCACAGAAACCGGTTGCATTCCTACACACCAATAGTGAAGCAACAGAAAGAGAAATCAAGGAATTGATCCCATTTACAATTGCAGCAAAACCATAAAATACCTAGGAATAAATCTAACCAAAGAGATGAAAAATTTAAACACTGAAAACTATAGAAAGCTTATGAAAGAAAGTGAACAAGACACCAAAAAATGGAAAAATATTCCATGCTCCTGGACAGTTAGAACAAATATTGTTAAAATGTCAATACTACCCAAAGCAATCTACATTTTCAATGCAATACCCATCAAAATAACACAAGCATTCTTCACAGAGCTAGAACAAACAATCCTAAAATGTGTATGGAACTAGAAAAGACCCAGAATAGCACCAAAGCATGAAGCATCACAATCCTGGACTTCAAGCTGTATTACAAAGCTGTAATCATCAAGACAGTATGGTACTGGCACAAAAGCAGACACTCAGATCAATGGAACAGAATAGAGACCCCAGAAATAGACCCACAAACGTATGGCCAACTAATCTTTGACAAAGCAGGAAAGAATATCCAATGGAATAAAGATGGTCTCTTCAGAAAATGGTGCTGGGAAAACTGAACAACGACATGCAGAAAAATGAACCTGGACCACTGTCTTACACCATACACAAAAATAAACTCAAAATGGATGAAAGACCTCAACGTAAGACAGGAAGCCATCAAAATCCTCAAAAAGAAAGCAGGCAAAAACCTCTTTGACCTCGGCTGCAACAACTTCTTACTCAACACGTCTCTGGAGGCAAGGGAAACAAAAGCAAAAATGAACCATTGGGACATCATCAAAATAAAAGGCTTCTGCACAGCGAAGGAAACAATCAGCAAAACTAAAAGGCAACTGACAGAATGGGAGATGTTTGCAAACAACATATCAGAAAAAGGGTTAGTATCCAAAATCTATAAAGAACTTATCAAACTCACCAAAAAAACCCAAAGAATTCAGTGAAGAAATGAACAAAAGACATGAATAGACCCTTCTCCAAAGAAGACATCCAGATGGCCAACTGATACATGAAAAAATGCTCAACATCACTCATCATCAGGGAAATACAAATCAAAACTACAATGAGATACCACCTCACACCCGTCAGAATGGCCAACATTAACAACTCAGGCAACAACAGATGTTGGCGAGGATGTGGAGAAAGAGGATCTCTCTTGCACTGCTGGTGGGAATGAAAACAGGTGCAGCCACTCCGGAAAACAGTATGGAGGTTCGTCAAAAAATTAAAAATAGAACTATCCTATGACTCAGCATTGGCACTACTAGGTATTTATCGAAGGGATACAGGTATGCTGTTTTGAAAGGGCACAGGCACCCCAATATTTAAAGCAGCACTATTGACAATAACCAAAATATGGAAAGAGCCCAAATGTCCATCGATAGATGAATGGATACAGAAGATGTGGTATATATATTACAATGGAGTTATTACTCAGCCATCAAAAAGAATGAAATCTTGCCATTTGCAACTACATGGATGGAACTAGAGGGTATTATGCTAAGCGAAATTTGTCAGAGAAAGACATATCATATGACTTCACTCATATAAGGACTTTAAGATACAAAACAGATTAACATAAGGGAAGGGAAGCAAAAATAATATAAAAACAGGGAGGAGGACAAAATATAAGAGACTCAAATACAGAGAATAAACAGAGGGTTGCTGGAGGGGTTGTGGGAGGGGGAATGGGCTAAATGCGTAAGGGGCATTAAGGAATCTACTCCTGATATCATTGTTGCACTATATGCTAACTAACTTGGATGTAAATTTAAAAAAATAATAAATTATTGGAGCATCCAGGTGGTTTAGTTGGTTAAGCGTCTGACTTCAGCTCAGGTCATGATCTCACAGTCAGTGAGTTCAAGTCCTGCATCGGGCTCTGTGCTGACAGCTCAGAGCCTGGAGCCTGCTTCAGCCTGTCTCAGAAAGGTGAATAAATGTTAATTGATAATTAATTGATTAATTAATTTAAAAAACTGAAGATGCCCAGGAACCCTGAATTTCCTACGAGGGGGGGGACTATCATATTTCTTTTTGGGGAGGGGATATCATATTTCTAAGAAAAATTTTACTACAGAAGTGGGCAGAAGCATTGTTTAAAATCCTCTAATAAAGAAACTTGAAAAAAATAAAAAGAAACTTTATAACTCAAAAGTGATGTTGCAACATGACCCATATAAAAGAAACCACATCATACTTCATTGTGTTTATATTTTCAATGTCTCAAGGAAAAAATGGCCTCATGGAGAATATGGCACTAATGAGTAAAAACATATAGCTGCATATATGGTACTTGAGCTTTTAGTTACATAAAACAATAATTCAGTAAATGTTTCAGACTCCTCAATACTACCATCCCCTATTGGATAAAATAAGTCCTTTATCCTCAGAATTGAAATTCAGAAACTCTACTCAGCACAGTAACTATTAGTTTCAGGGTAAGTTTTAAAACACTGAGGTAAAAAAATAAAAAATAAAAAATAAACATAAAAAATAAAACACTGAGGCAAACACCAGATTTAAAATGTCTTTTAGCTTAGTCCTCTGTTTTCAAAATGTTTTAATTTTATTTCATTATAATTTCATTTTTCCAGAGAAAATATACACTTTCATACTAATTTCATACTTAACAAATCTAACCTTGCACATTTTTTTTGTTTATTTATTTTGAGAGAGAGGGAGAGACGTAAGGGCAGAGACAGAGGGAGAGAGAGAATCCCAAGCAGGCTCTGTGGTGTCAGTGCAGAGCCTGATGCAGGGCTTGAACTCACAAACAGTGAAATCGTGACCTGAGCTGAAATGAAGAATAGGAAACTTAACCAACTGAACCACCGAGGTGCCCCTAACCTTGCAAAATTCTTAATGCCCTTTATGACTTTCAAAAGGTACTATATAAAATTTTGATGAACATCACATATGTAATCTACCTAATGCCACAGTTCAAGTAAGGTTTTTAGAAAGTCATCTAAACATAAATTAAAAAAAAAGAAAATTATAAAATATCCTGATGACAGTCTAATTTATCTATCATGTCAAAAAATACAGAAAAGATCAAGTGACACTTTATGCTAATCTCCCAGCACTTCTTTATAAGATAAAAATTACCTGTATGTTTTATAATATAAAATCAAAGTGATAAATCACTGCCTTGACAAAGCACCAATCAACTCAACCCAAAATGATTTCCCTTTTGGAGAAATAAACTCATGAAATAAAGATATCAAGGTTGATGATAATTTCTAATGTCCAACAAAGCACTGCAAGTTATAATCATTTGAAAATTACAGTGTACTTTGAAATACAAATCTTAAGGATATAGCATGTTTTTACAGGTAACTGTGCTTAACCACTTTCACATTACCACTTGGGGATTACATATCTTGAGCAATTATTCAAGACACATAATTAAAATTAACTTTATATCATGGGAAGTGTCTAAGTGTTTCATCGCAATAATCCATGTTTAGTGCAGAATAAAATAAGATGATATGATTACTTACTGTCCATGAAGTATGATTCTTGAAGAATCAATTTTTAATTATAAGTCCAAGTAACTCAATGAAGAATTAAATATATTATCTATGCCTGCTTTTTTTTAATAAGTAGAATGCATCTTTCTTTCTTCTTTCTTTCTTCCTTTCTTCCTTTCTTTTATACCACTCTATCTACTCTTTATTTCCTGGAAGCCCAAATACATACTAAGGTATTTGTTTTCCTTACAAAATCCTAAGAAACTAAAAATCCACCAGTCATATGACGGCAGTAGATAATCCAAAAGCTGTCAGAACATCTACTCAGAGGGGAAAAAAAAATACACCATTCATTTACCTTAATCTCATCACATTGGAAAAGATGAAGATCTGGCTTGTTCTGAGTTGGCTCTTTGCACACCAGGGCAAGAACTGAATCATAGTTACAGGAATGCATCACAGCTTGGCAGTGCTGGATTGTGTTTAAAGGAAAATTCTCTAGTTCATTCTATAAACAAAGTAAAAACTTGTCTTAATTTTTATCGTATAAATATAATCGATTCCACAAAGACCTCTTGGCACTGTACACATCATTTTTAAAGTGTGTAAATCATACTGACAGTGAATACAAGTAAACACCTAGGATGGAGAGGATGAGTAGATACAAGGTGACAGCAGAAAACAAGGTGGGGCCAGGTGACTGGGAGAAAAAGCAACAAAAAGGAAATATTTAGCAGAGGAATGCAGTTATCTTCTTAATAAACAGAAGAAATACTGAACTTAATAATATTGACTTCCTTAGGTTATGGAGTGGAGATGATGCCTTTAAGAGAAAAAGAAGTAAACTGAGGCCTCTTTCCAAGATTATTCCCCATCTTACATGGTATTTTTTCCCCTCTGGCTATATAGTGTCAGAATTTTTTTTTACTTGAACATTGAACAGTAATACTCAGTCATACACAGAAGTCTCTATCTTCTGTGATCATAAATGTGGGGCTACATATAATACATCATTTGTACATTTTTTTTATTTCAATGAATCTCTCAGATGAAAAGATTAAAAATATCTATATTTATTTATTCCAGCCCAAAATATCAAACAGCTGGGCCAAAAGGATCTCACTAAAAACATATATTCTTCAAAGTGATTAAGATGTTCGGTAGTATAAAAGTGAATACTCTTTAACCTATCAATAGCCCACTAAATAAAATACTGATAGATTAAATAATTATTTCTTAAACAAATGAACTTTCTGTTCACAATCAGAATTCTGAATTTCATGAGATAAATTTAAAGTGTCTATTGTTAGACTAATGCCTTTATACAAATAGTAAGTGGGTCATGATGGGAGAAAGTGATTTTTTTAAGTAAAGAAAATACAATATCCCCGATAAATAAATTAATAAAAGTAAAAATAAAAAGCATCAACTTTTATTACAGGTGGCACATATACACATATATCACACCATAGATTCATTCTAAATTCTGATTCCCTGACATCCAGCGAAGGCAAAACAAGAAATACTGGCTCATCAGAATAAAATGCAATTTCTCAGAGTACCAGGGAAATAACAAATTTTCTTTCTTTGCAAAGGTTAATTAAATAATATCCCTTCCCTAGAATTACTTGAAACCATGAGGATCGGAGAGGCATTCAGTTGCTATTTTCTCACGGGGTACGATGGATGTGACTGGTGAAAGAAAGGGCAAATTGTACTCCAAGTCCCATCAGACAGAATACGCTAAAATGATTACAACAGTTGTATTCTTTACCTTCACAACTCAAGTGCTTCTTAAATGATGGGGCTCAAAAGAGTGCTGTTTCAGGAGCTCCAGCATCTTACCCGCCAGCCTAGTGCGAAATAAAGGTGCCTGCTACATGGCTGGGGAGAAGTGAATACGTACACACAGACACACCTCGTCATCCCAGGTCACTCATTTCCTGGCATATGGTTTGGCCTAGCAAGCAATTGATAGATGTCATAAAGGCCCAGTGGGGGCCTTGCTTCAGTGCTCTGAATTGTTTTTGTCACTTCCTTCATCTCATCGTTTGTGGTTTAAATAAAACAACAGAACAGGGATCCCTGATCTTTAGTTTCAGGAACTGATTTTGTGCATGATGTGTATGCAGTATTATATTTCTTCTTTCAAATCACTGACAAAATATTTTATTTTATCCAACTTTCATCCACTTTTATACAGTATGACCTGCTTGTCAATGTAAATACCTGTGGAACTTTCTTACAAGTAAAATAGTCCAAATTTTACAAACTTACCTTTGATTCTAAGTCAATCAGGCTCACAGCTCTGTCATCCACTTGAAGAATCATATCTTGAGTCCACACTTTGCCCTTGGCATCAAGCAATTTCAGCTTCCTTATTCCATCATCCACAGTTATCATTGCATCTTTCCGATCCAGAACAAAGGTAGTCAAGTGCTTATGATTGACAAAAAGGAAAAATATATATAATGCTCACAGTCTCTTAGTACACGTTTTCCAAAAGAAAGCAATGGTAACCTCATTGAAGTCGGTGAGTAGAGTGGTAAGGAACCAACACAAAGCACCTACAACTTCATGGCTATCTTACTGAGATAATAAAGTCAAGCCAGGTTTTGTTGAATAGAGGCAACAGTGCCTTGAGTCATAAAATACCTAAATCTGCTTAATACTGAGCCATGTCAAGCTACATAAACATAACATAAATTCCAAACAGCTTAAATAACATTCTCTTAAAACCAATCCCTCCCGTTTTATTTCATTGTGGTTACTTAAGTGCTGAATACCAGCAGGGAAGCTACACTGCAGGTGGAAAACTACAGACGTTGATAAATGAGAGAAGTAGTTGACTACTACTATAACAACTGTCAAAGTCTTCATTGAACTGAAACAAAATTTTAAAGTTTATTTATTTTTGAGAGAGAGAGAGAGAGAGAGAAGAAGAAGGAGGTGGAGGCAGAGGTGGAGGCGGAGGAGGAGGAGAAAGGGAGGGAGGGAGGGAGAGAGAGGGAGGGAGGGGCAGAGACAGAGGGAGAGAGAATCCCAAGCAGGCTCCAGGCTGTCAGCACAGAGCCTGATGCAGGGCTAGATCCCACGAACTGTGAAATCATGACCTGAGCCGAGATTGAGAGTAGAAGACTTAACCAACTGAGCCACTCACACATGCCCTTAAATAAAACTTTAAATCTAATTAAGCATGCTTGCTATGGGTAGAAAACTGAAAATAAGAGCAATTTAAAATTTACTCCCTACTTAAATATTTTCTATTACAAACAAAAGTCACTAAATAGATTCCACTCAAGAGCAAATATAGCTTAACAGATAACAACACAGGAAACTAATAAGAAAACACTGTTTAAATAGGACTACTAACGACTTTAGGTAAAATTAAAAATAAAACCAAACCACTCCGTGAAACCACCAAAGGCATAAGTTCAAGATTCTATAATATAAAATAGAAGCCTTTGTCCTGTTTTTAACCAAAACAAGGCTGGCAATAATAAATGAGTAGTTATTTTAATTTACTCTCTATGAAAATAGACCCCAGACTAACAAGATACTTTGATATTTTACATCTAAATTTTGCAAAACTCTAAAAGAAAAAAGGTGAACACAATTCATAGTACATCATAGGAATACAATAAAACATAATTCTGATTTTACTACCAAATTTGTATGTCCCTCAAGGTTCATTCTACATTTTAGCAAACATCAAAACATCTTACCTCAACACGGTATTGGGATGTGTCGGACACGCTGCTGACACTGTCCCGGGCATAACTCTTCCTTTGTTCTGAAAGAGAAGTTGAAAAAGCCATTATGTACCCACTAAGAGGCTAAAGCTTGTGTACCAGGGCCTTGTGACCATCTCTAAAACTAGTCTAGCTCACGTATAAGTATAGCAGCTGACAAGTCACTGTTGTGTGGTGTATCTGAAAACACTCATTATTCACATTAAATGAATAAGCCACCAGAAAGCTTATTTAAAAAGAGTTATTTAATTAAGGGCTTTATTAATCAGATACCTACTCTTTGGCAAAAAAAGACGAAAACTGGCTTATAACTCTCATTTTTTAATGTGTTGAGAACACAACAGAATTGCAAATACTGTCACAGATACTGTATTCTGTGAGTTAGACTATATTATCAAAATAATGGCCACGACAAGGAACATCTCCTTTCACAACATCCAAACTATGGAGAGTGTCAGAGGAGATTCAAAACATGACTCAATCATACCGAGTGCCATTAAACAGTCTCCACACAGCTACAGAACAAACAAACATGATGCTCAAAACTGTAGATATCAGCTGTTAGAAAATACAAGAAAGTCAGGTGGAAAGTTACCACACCACACTATTTAAAAAGCAAAAATAAACCTTTATTTTCTTTTGTATAATGCTGCAAAACCAAAATAAAATACAAAATATTTTGTACATGTTACTTTCTAATCAAGGAATTTGCTTATTTGTAAATTCAGAGTTGCCCTATTTTTCCTAAAGCAGAATGCTATGATGAAAAAGAACCCTAAGTAGGAACCAGGAGATTATTGACTCTAGCTTTGGCTCCGTCACTAAGCAGGACACTAAATTTGAGCAAGGTGCTTAGCTCTGGACCTCAGCACTCTTATTGTAAAATAAAAGGGTTAAATAAGATCAAACCTCAAAACTCCTACAGTACTAATATCCACACACACGCACACACGCACGCACGCACATGCACACACACACACCACACGCACACACCCCTTAACTTTCCTGATATCCAATTGTTTTTCAAATATAAATATGTTTCTTTCAGTTGATATGAAACCTCTAGACCTTCCTACAACTTCAGAGGTTGAAAAGTTCTGCTGAACATGAACTCAAACCAAGTACAAAATATAAAGCACATATACAGATCAAGAATGTTAACAGAATTTTTTAAAACTTTGATAAATTCTTATTTCATAATATATATGAAAGTAATTATCTTTTCATTTATATTTATCTGAAACTGAGATGAAAAATACCTATGTCCTTTATATTACATCAGTCTGATATTATTCTGATATACTCTATTTTTGTTTTTGCAGCATTAAAGTTACTTAATAGAAACAGACACACTACAAAATTCAGTATCTGCTACCTTTCTTTTTTTGTTTGGATGATGACCTGAAGAAGTATGATCCATCCGTTCCTACCAAAACAATGTGATCAAAAAGAAAGATCTGGTTTCACCTTAAATTTTCTACTCCAATATACAAAACATAACCTTCACTTACATGACTATAGTCTACTTATCAAGAAAAGAAACAACCATGATTCTTCTGATTCTTAGCTGAGAATTAATCAAGGTGAGATATTAACAAATAGATAACTGTTCTCAGGAGAACCACTGAAATACAATATGTAACTGAGGAACATTTCTGACAAAAGCACTTTTAGAAATAATTACTATTTCTTTTTTTTAACTAAAAAATGTTTTTTAATGTTTATTTATTTTTGAGAGACACAGAGACAGTATGAGCAGGGAGGGGCAGAGAGAAAGGGAGACAGAATCCGAAGCAGACTCCAGGCTCTGAGCTGGAGGCTCAGTTCCAGGCTCCAGCACAGAGTTCGATGTGGGGCTCGAACCCACAAACCGTGAGATCATGACCTGAGCCAAAGTTGGACGCTTAACCAACTGCACCACCCAGGTGCCCCAGAAATAATTACTATTTCTAAATAGTGTTGTATGTTAAGTGATGAATCATGGGAATCTACCCCCAAAACCAAGAGCACACTGTATATACTGTATGTTAGCCAACTTGACAATAAATTATATTTAAGAAAGAAAGAAAGAAAGAAAGAAAGAAAGAAAGAAAGAAAGAA